GTCTACACTTTAGCCTGCGCGCTTCTGTCAAATTCTTCGTGTGTGTTTTTTAGGGTTTCACTTCCACTGCTTTTTCTTTGTTTGTAGTCTTGGGGATTTTGAAGATTAATTTTTTCTGTAGTTGTTAACACGAATGTTAGTGTCTGTTTGTTACTTTGCTTCCTTGATTTCTTCGATTTTCTGTTAAATGAATACTGGTAATTTATTTTTATCGGAGGTTAACTTTGGTTTGGAACAAATTCGCCCTTGACATCAGTGATTGATCTTCTGATTAGATCTGATTGTGATTTTTTGATCTGTCAGTTTTGCGTTAGCCAGTTTTAGGATATCCGCAATGTTTTCGCGAACATTATTTTTATGTTATCATGTTTTTTATTAAGTTTTTTATGCTAATTTTCCAGGGTTAATGTAAATAATTATGAACAGTAGTTTGGGTGTTACTCTTGCTTGACTATGGGTTGAGATTTCTTATCTAGAGATTTTGTTTTGTCTTACGCTATTACCTCTGTAATTATACGCCATTACCATGTATTCTGCTACGTTATTTATTATATCCTATTGCTTGTATGTTCAATGCTCTTGATGATACAGTTGTAACGTTGTTATATCCTTACTCTATTTATCTTGATTGTTACATTACTAATTGACTTCTTAAATTAGTTTTAAATCATCAATAACTGGACAATCTAATAACTAAACAACTTTCTCTTTACTATAATTCTCCGTTGGATTTACCTGTTTCCGGGTAGTCATTATCTGCTCTTTGTTTTGCCCGTTTCCAGGTAGTCCTTATCGATTGGCTTTTTCCGAAAGATCAGATATCGTTTGCTGCCTTTGGTGGCAATACATGTCAAGTTAAATTAGCAGCAGTACCGACTTTCGCGGCACTAGTAGCTGTCGCTGGGCTTAAAACCTGTAAAAAGTGAGTTTAGTATTTAGTTTATAATATAGTTAATACATGTAAACAAAACAGTACGGTAAAGTAATACGGGCATTAGTTAGTGGGTAGCTTGCACAAATATTACTAATGATTGCTATGTGGTTTGCATATAGAAATAAATTAATATAACAAATATGAGTCTAAAAGACAATCTATTTTTGGTTTTGGATAAGTTTTTTTATTGTAATTAAATACTAGATGATCCAAATTAAAATTAATTGTTTATTTATTGATTTTTTGTTCTTGTTAAACTGAGTAATCTTTCCTTCAAAGTTCAAAGATAATAGTTAAAATAGTTTTATTTTACAAAAACTATGACAATTAAAATATCTGTGCTTTTAGTATATACATGTAGTAATATCTACACTTAAAACTAGTGTTTGACATCGTCATTTAGGAATACCAATATCAATTAAATATATATTGTATAATAATCAATTTAAGTTTACTGAAAATTTGATATTTTGGACGTTTTAATCATTATTAATTTATTAAAAACAAATCATTTTATTTAGAACCAATGAATATCATTAATCAGTTTTTTTTTAATTTATTCCTATAACCGCTCGATTTCTCTATTTACATTTCCTAATAAGTTTCTTCCTTAGATGATCCTAATATTAATCCAGTTCTCAAACATGACCTGCCTAAATGTCTCCCACCAAGTTTTTTTGTCTTCTCTTACTGCATCCAGAAACTTCCAACTCGGTGATTCGTCGTATTGTGTGATTTCAATGTTGAACATGCCCTGAAAATCTTAGCCTGTTGTCTTCATTTTGGAATCAATTAGTGACACACTTGGACTTTTCCTAATACATTTATTCTCATTTCCGCCACATGCATTCGCTGTTCTTCTTTTTCTACATTTTTATAGAATCTGGATTTCAGTTTTATTTTAATCTTTCTATTACACTACACACCACTCTCCTTTTATATCATCCATTCTGCTTAGCTTTAACTGCTTCTTCTTAAGGTGCCTTATTCGTTTACTGACTGTTGGCTATAATTCTGGCATACTCGTCCGGTCTGGTGCGGCTCTTAGTCGCTCTTAGTTTGTCCATTCCCTTATATTCTTTAGACACGAGTTTCTTTTTCTCGATAACTCGTTTTCCTTCAATTTTCGCCTCCATAATATTTAAAAATCAGTACTTGGTATTCCCAAATATGTGATCTAGCAAGGTCGCTTTCCATTGCTTCACTATTTGCAGTACTTATCTTTCTCTTCCTCTTAGGTGTTGATTATATGATCCGTGCAGGAATTATTAAGGATTCTCCAGAACACCCACATTTCGAAGGCCTCAAGGCGATTCATGGCTTCTTCTTAGGGTGCCTGTCTATTCCGAACGTTGGTGATCATTCTGGCTATGATGACTTTGTTGGTTGCTATACGAAACTGCTGTGTTGAGGTCTTTCTATAAGTTAGCAACCCAGGATATTCTTCTTTGTCCTGGGGCCCTTTTTCCTTCAATTTTACCTTACAAAATGCATTGAAGTAGCTCATATCTGCCTTGATTTTTCATTATATGTCCCAAGTACTGCAGCTTACGGCCCTTCACGATGTTGACCAAATCCGCAGTTGTGTTCATTCTCCGCAGTACTTCTTCATTGATGACTTTGTCTGCCCTTGGTATCTTCAGGATCCTTATGTATAACCATAGCTCAAAAGCCTGAAGTTTTGATAGTTTCCACCTTCAATGTCCACGTTTCTACTCCGTATAGTATCAGTGAGTACACGTAACATTTCATGGCGTTAGCTTTTATTGCCTCCAGCATTAAGTCTACATACAGCAGCATTGAGTAAATGTAGCATTTCACAAAACTGGTATCGTGCAATTAAATTAATAGTCTGGTTGCTAAGTTCTCATATTCATAAATGTTACTCTTACCTGTACAATTCTGCTGCTTATGTCTGGGCCAGGACCTCAGTTATTTAGCTTCCGAGATATCTGAATTTGCAGACTTCTTCTTCCTCTTTCCTCCTTTCGATATCTCAGCGTATTTCCTGTAATTCTTCTTAGTACTCTCATCTCTGTGTTGAGTCCAGTTTCGGGTCTTGTTTCTAAGGAATATGTCATTATTGGTCTTACACTGGCTTTATAAATTCTTGACTTCAGCTCAGTATTAATGTATCTGTTTCGCCATATACTGTTTTTAAGTCATCCTGCCAGTCTCTTTGCTTTTTGTACTTGATCTCTCACTTCTTTGTCCAGGTCTTTATATCTAGACAGTGTCATTCCAAGGTATTTTATTCTCATTACTGATGCCATCAATTTCTATTTTACATCTGGTTGGTTCTTTGCTGATTTCTATTGTTTTAGTTTTCTGAGATGAGATTGTAATATTAATTCTTTTGCTCTTGTATTAAATCTGTGGACCAGTCTTTGCATTAAGCGTATTTTGAGTTAGTTAATTCTTCATTTTTACAAATACTGCTCTTTCAATTTGGCATTTTATTTCCTGAGAGTTATTCCATTCTTCGTTCAATGTACATACCAGATATGTGAACTTTGGCACTCGTTATAGTACTTGATTATTTGCCCACAGTATCATGCGTTGGTTTGTCAACTTGTTTATGACCATATATTTCGTTTTCTTAATGTTCAATTTCGGTCCATATTCTTCACTCATTGTTACGACTTTATCGATAAGGAATTGTAAATCTTAAAGGCTATTATTATGGTATCTGCATATCGGATTTTGTTAATGGTTTCACCATTCACTTTGATTTTCTCTGTAAGATCCAGCTCCTTTCTAAAAATCTGTTTATAGATTGAATAGCACTGGAGGCAGCACACAATCATGACGGACTCATTTCTGAATTTGAATTAAACTGGTATACTGTTCGTACATTCGTACTTTCGCCTTTTGTCTAAAAATGGATTATTATTCTTATATACTTTTCATCCCTCCTACTCTTCTCATGGAAAGGGCCATCTTTTTGCAATTGCACATTTTCTTTTTCTGTGCATCAAGCTTACATGTCATATAACATCCACTCTTTTTCATATTTTTTGCTTTTATGTATATGTCAATTACACGGCCTGGTTAACACCTTTTTTAAAATGTCTCCAGTTGTTGTTGATATTGTCTGCTAGGTGGACTAACATAGTCTGTTTGGCTTTTAGAATCCCACCAGTTTTATTTGTTATCTCTTTTCTTACCTGTAAATTTCGTAGTTTGTTGAAATCAACTACTTTTTTATATTGTGTTAATTTTTTTTTAGTTTCATTCTCCGTTTTTCAGTATAGGATTATGATTGGAAAGTAAACTATCTGCTCTATAGTATGTTTCGGCTGGTGGTTTTGTACTTGTATATTGTTCATTGTTGTGATTTTGGTATTTAGCTGTAACATGACGCGATCACACAAGGGGAGAAACTTTAAATCCTAGGGGGAAGCATATTTTTTTATCATTATGTCTATTTTATTTCGATGTTGAGAATGTTTTTACTAAAATAGTATATTACATGGTTCCTGATATGATGGTTTGCTGGCCGACTAGTTTCACTTATACCAAGAAATTCATTCTTGCATATTCTGGGCAATGTTGTGTCACTTTCTTGATCTATACATACTATTAAGATTCCATATTTCGATTCGCAATTAGCTGTATTATAAACCGAAGCTGTTGACCGGCAAATGAGAGACTAATTTTACTTATAGTCACTCTGTGATCAGAGTCTTGTTAGTTATCTCACAGGGAGTACCACATAAGATACAGGAAGTTGACGTTTGACTAGGTTAATAATACCAAAGGGTAAATGATTCTCTCTTAATATTGAGCGGAATTTATTATGCAAGCTTGTTGGTAGAAGCATTGACTTTGTCATTGAAAAACTAGTCTTTGTATCATTTATTGTAAAAGTACCTTAATTTAAATATTTCTTATATGGAATTAAACCACAATTAATTGTAATAAAAATTACAATTTTTAAATACTGTTTGGCGTTTAGATTTCCACTTCAGAAATCGTTTTCAAAAAGATCAAAAACATATCTTTTATCAATTTTTTTGTTCCAACAATTTTATGCAATTTTTACAAAAAGTTTGTCTTGTTGCAGGGCACAGCTCAACAACGGGTTCGTGTGCAAGCTCTAGTGGGGCTAGTGGCAGCGGCAGCAGCTCGAGAAGGGCAGTGAGGCAGCAAAAGGTTGGGTCGGCCGCCCCGGCACTTCTCTCGGCTCCTGCCACACACGCTGCCGCAGCCATGGCCGCTGATCAACCGGAAATGCCGAACAACGGACTTTCAGGTAAGATATCTTCAAAGTGCTGTATTCTTTTAACGCTAGAATCCGTAACACTGAACGTTAATCAATTGCCTTTCGGTCGGAAAACTAATCGTGGAGGTTGACCTCGATATGTTCTAACGTAAGCATCAAACCTGCTAAGCAATTAAACGTATTTATCGTTTTTGTTGCAACTATCATTCCCATCTTTAACTTAACTTTTTTTCAGTGTAACTCAGCGATTGTAAGTATGTACCTGACAATTTGGCTTAAGACAAATACATCTCTCAAATTTTAGTGCTAACAATTATCAAAAGTTGTAGACCTATGTTTTGCAATGGTACAATGATGTTCTAACTGACACGAGTGTATCTATCTGTCTATTTGCATTATCGCATTTGATAATGTCAGCTGCAATCTTGAGGAAACCTCAAAAAGCAATTATTTCGATTTTCAGCCTATCAATTCACACTCCATTAAAGGCAGTCTGACCCCTCAACTCTATCCAGATGCACCCGTACCACAACCAAAAAAACTGTTTAATTTATTATTGTTTGTATTTTAAGAACAATTTCCTAAGGGGAAACTGAAACGTCAATAAACTTTTTTAAATTTGGACTGTTGCTTACTTATTTACATTAAAATAGTATGTAATTGTTCTTAAATATAAGACAGTTAAGATTTGATTTCACGTATAGTGCTTCTACAATTCGCTTATACGTATTTTGTCCTATGTAGGACTCATCAGAGCGTCTTGGTAGGAAGCCCTAAACGTGAAATCAAATTTTTTATGGCAAATATAATTTTAAATTACAAAATATATTTCTTTTAGCAATTGGTAATTTGGTTGACAGTTTCATTTTACTTCAGTGGCTTTCAATATGAAATCGGACAAAAAAGGTTAAACAGATAATATAATCAAGAACGCTGTCAGTTGAACGGTGTCAAACCGACTTAAAGCCTACTAATTTTTATAGTTTGTTTCTTTGTCTCTTTTTAAGATGCACCGCTGAAAATATAACGATAAGGCATGTTTTCAAATTGAAGTTTAAAAAAATCATCATCAGTGACATTACAGCTCGTTATGACATAAATTCTTCTTCAGATGGATTTTAGATTATCATCTATGTTGTCTTGATACCTAAGTTTTGGTCTTCCTCTGTCTCATCTTCCCACTGGTCCTCTTCGGTCGAAAAGTTTTCTGATCGCTGCATCTTAATCTCGTCTAATTACATGTCCTATCCATTGAATAACATATTATTCAATGCGTGTTAATTTAATACATTTTGCAACGGCAGGTTCCCCAAAACTTCTGTATAACTCAAAGTTTTAGCCAACGCCACAAACCCTGTTCTTGGACTCCTCCATATACACTGCGCTCCAAAATTAACGCATAATTTTAAAATTCTTATTTTGAGTTATAATGAAAAAATTTTTGGTTGCTCTTTTCTGCTTTATGGTTGTTTTAGAACACCTTAAATAAAAAAACTTTTCTTGTTTTACAAAAAATGTATTGAAATTAACAATATAACATCATAAATCTAAACATCTAAACAAACAACTGACCTAAACTAACTAACATTATATATTAATTACGAAATTGAAATTTTTAAAGTTGAAGAAAATACTAGTACCGTGTACTAGTATCAAGTATTGCCTCCTCTGGCATTTATTACTGCTTGATAACGATCTCTCATACTGAGGATAATCGTTCTGATTTCTTCTTGATCAATTTGATCCCAAATTTCAACCAACCGCCAAAACAATTCATCTAATGTGTTTGGTGCATTAGGTAGTTGTCGTAGTTATCTGCCTATGATGTCCCAAACATGTTCTATTGGGTTGAGGTCAGGACTTCTCACAGGCCAATTCGTGGCAGGATTTCCAACCTCCTGACGATACTGCTGCACAATTCTTGCCGTGTGTGGCCTGGCATTATCTTGCATAAGCATGAAATTATCGACTAATGGCACGACATGCTCTTCTAAAATGTCTGTTATATACATCTGCGATGTAAGCCGACCGCGATCTATTCTAACTAATTCCGTACGAGCCTCTAAATTAATCCCACCCCACACCATTATCGAGCCGCCGCCATACTGTACAGTCACTACGGTGTTACACTTGCGTAGTGTTCCCCAGGCCTTCTATACACTCGGTTTCTCCTGTCATCAGAAAAAACACAGTACCTGGATTCATTGGTGAACAATATTCTTCCCCAATCGTCATTATTCCAATCAACATGTTCACGAGCAAACTGCAATCTTTGCCTTCTATGGTCTCTGGTCAATAATGGGCCAATTGGTGCTCTTCCAGGGTGTAGGTCATTTTCGGCAAGTCTTCTTCTAATCATATTTTGGCTGATTCTAATGTTATGACGATCCAAAAATTCATTTTGTAGAGAAGTACTGGTAACAAACCTTTGTATCAGTCTAAAAAGTGTCAAAAACCGGTCTTGATTAGGTGTTGTAACCCTTCTACGGCCTTGACCGGGTCTTCTCGAGTTACTTCCAGTAATAGAAAAACGTGTTAACACTCTTGAAATGGCTCACTGGGTGACGTTAAAATGTTCAGCGAGTTCTACTTACGTGTATCCTTCTTTGCGAAGAGTAACGATTCTAAAACAGTCACTTTCTGACAAATTTCGATTTTCTTGATATTGGTGGTTCATTTCAAAGAAAAAACACCTTATTAACTTGAAAAACCCCTTTAAACGTTCAGCACAACGTAATCCAATCCAACTAAATTCGAAATAAAATGAAGCTCAATTAGCATGTTTTTAATTTTTTTGAAAAAATGGTAAAAACATCAGAGTTTTCTACCGTTCTTTCGATAAATTTTACAATATACTGGGGGTAACAATAATATATTAGCACAAAAATCGAAACATTAAAATTATTTGATTTACCAGGGTTTTTAAAATTATGCGTTAATTTTGGGGTGCAGTGTATTTAGGTCGTTCTGTATAAGTGATCACGTTTCTGACCCGTATGTGGCCTTATTAATGTTTTATATAGGGTAATTTTAATTTTTCTTGGTAGTTTTGGGGCCATCTGTTTCCTCAAGTCATAATAGAACTTATTGGTAAACACTATTCTTTTTTTAATTTCTTCGCTGGCATTGTTGTCTTTGGTCAGCAGCAAGCCCAAGTAGACGAAGGTGTCCACACCTTCCAGTTCCAGATCACCAATTAATAGTCTAGGTATCTGGTTGCCTGATCTAGTACAATAGATATACTTTGTTTTCTGTGCGTTTATTTTTAATCCCATTCTCAGTGCAGACGCTCTTAATGATCGTAATGCTTCGATCAGAGAGTTTGTGGACCTAGCAATAATGTCTATGTCATCTGCATATCTAACCACTTGTACAGATTTATTAGAGGTGGTGCCATTCGTATTACTATGGCACTCTCGAATTACTTTTTCTGGTGCCAGGTTAAATAAGAGACACGATAGTCCATCTCCCCGTCTCAGTCCATTTTTACACTAGAAGGGTCTTGAAAAGTCGTTTTGGATTCTGACTACACTCTCTAAGCCGGTGAGTTCCGTTAGTTGAACAAGATGAAGCGGCATTTGAAATTCCACCATAGCCTGTAGAAGTTTTTGTCTGTTGACTGAGTCGTATGCTGCTGTGAAATCCACGAATATGTGGTGGGTGTCGACTCCGAACTCAAGCGTTTTCTCAAGAATCTGCCTGACTGAAGATTTGATCCATTGTTGATTTATTGGATCGGAAACGGAACTGGTAGTTCCCAACTATTTGTTGAGCATAGGGGATCAATCTTCTGTACAATACGTTGGACAATACTTTATATGCCACGGTAAGTAGTATGATGCCTCTATAATTATCACACACTATCATATCTCCCTTTTTGTGAAGAGGGTGCATTACACGTAATTTCCAGTCTGCGAGCGTTTCCTTCCGTTCCCAGATTTCGGTTACTAAATTACGCATGTGTTTAAAAAGAGTGTCACCACCATTTTTAAAGAGTTCGGCAGGAAGATTTTCCAAACCAGTGGCTTTGTTATTTTTCAGTTTTGAAATGGCTTCTCTAATTTTTTCTTCGGTGGGGTGCGGCTCTTGAGCGTTTTCATCCATTTCTTCACGACTGTCGCTAAGCAGTTCAAAATGATTTGCCCACCTCTTTAGTATCTGTTCTTTGTCACTAATTATGGAACCATCTCTGTCTTTACATGCTGTTGTTCTGGGTTTGAATCCTTTTCTGCAACTATTTATATTGTGGTAGAATTTTCGCGAGTCTTTTCTGTTGTGGTGGTTAACAACCTTGTTTAGAACGTTTTCGCATGGCTGTTTCTTTTTCATTCTAAACCCCTTTTTTCTTCTCGTCCAAGATTTTCATAGTCTTCCTATGTTTTTTCGTAGGTTTGATCTAGTTCTGCACTGCTGAAGTCTCTTATATGCTTCATTTTTCTGTTGGTTAATGGATCTACATTCTTCGTCAAACCAATCTTCGTTTATTTTAGCCTGGTTAAGTTTTAAAAAGCCTTTAACCGCTGTATTGATATCTTCCTTGCATTTGGTCCAGTGTTTTTCTATACTTAAATTTTCGTCGATTCTTGTCAGCTCTTCATTTAAAATGTTCCTGTAGTTATCAATAGCGTCTTCAGATTTCAACACATCAGTATTATATTTCGTAGATTTTGTGCTCTGGGCCCTTCTTAGCGTTTGATATACGAGCCCTGAGTTTTGTTCTTACAAGGTAGTGGTCAGAGTCTATATTAGCACCTCTATATGCTCTTACATCTAGTACGTCCGAGAAATGTCGACTATCAATTAGTAGAAGATTAAAAAAATATTGTATTTAAAATAAAAGCTGACTATTTAAACAAGATGGGTGATAGATAAAAAGCTTATCAGCTGTAGATAATGAAACAACGGAAGATTTTTATATCAAATAAAAATACCCAAAATATTCCTATCTGGTAAACCACAGATAACAGTTTGTATTTAATTCAGAGGGACTTCTATTAGAGACGTAACAGAATAATTTAAAAATAGTAAAC